AGTATTCAGGACTGCAGAGGTGTCCATGGAAACCTCCTGGGAGCTCTGTGTGTTGGAGCCAGAGGTTGCCTGGGACAACTATGGTGCTGCTCTGGACAAGAGAGTACTTGAATCTGGTAATAAGTTAAATGCTAAAACTGAAATATTTGAAAATGCTCATGGTGATAGAGGGTTAACGGAGTCTGTCAGTACTGACCATAGAATGTATGGAAGTGTTCATGAGTTGAATGAAGCGCCATCAGAGTACAGTGGTGAGGGTGTGGTGTTGCAACCTGTTGAGGTTAAAAACGTATTGCTGCAGTTTAGGTTGAACAAAAGTGATATACAGTTGTGTTCAAAATAATAGCAGTGTGTTGAAAAAAGTGAATAAAGCTCAAAATCCTTCTAATAGCTTTTATTTCCATACACACAAATGTATTGGGAACACTACACATTCTATTCCAAATCAAAACATGAAGAAAAATACATCAAATTTGTGTTGTTCCTTTAAAAAAAAAAAATTTAAGAAAAGTGAATATTAGACTGTTCAAAAAAATAGCAGTGTTTGTATTCTTCTTTACAAACTCAAACATTCACTATATAAACTGAGAAATGTTTGAAGATTTTGCTTTCCTTTGAATCACTTAATGAATATTTGGTTGTAGTCGCACTGTTTCTGAGAACTGCTGTACATCTGTGTTGCATGGAGTCACCCAACTTCTGGCACCTGTGAACAGGTATTCCAGCCCAGGATGATTGGACTACATTCCACAGTTCTTCTTTATTTCTTGGTTTTGCCTCAGAAACTGCATTTTTGATGTCACCCCACAAGTTTTCTATTGGATTAAGATCCGGGGATTGGGCTGGCCACTCCATAACGTCAATCTTGTTGGTCTGGAACCAAGATGTTGCACGTTTACTGGTGTGTTTTGGGGTCGTTGTCTTGTTGGAACACCCATTTCAAGGGCATTTCCTCTTCAGCATAAGGCAGCATGACCTCTTCAAGTATTCTGATGTATTCAAACTGATCCATGATCCCTGGTATGCGATAAATAGGCCCAACACCGTAGTATGAGAAACATCCCCATATCATGATGCTTGCGCAACCATGCTTCACTGTCTTCACAGTGTACTGTGGCTTGAATTCAGTGTTTGGGGGTCGTCTGACAAACTGTCTCTGGCTACTAGACCCAAAAAGAACAATCTTACTTTCATCAGCCCACAAAATGTTGCGCCATTTCTCTTTAGGCCAGTCAATGTGCTCTTTGGCAAATTGTAACCTCTTTAGCACATGTCTTTTTTTCAACAGTGGGACTTTGCGGGGGCTTCTTGCAGATAGCTTGGCTTCACATAGGCGTCTTCTAATTGTAACAGTACTCACAGGGAACTTTAAACCTTCTTTCATCTTCCTGGAGCTGATTGTTGGCTGAGTCCTTGCCGTTTTGGCTATTCTTCTATCCATTTGAATGGTAGTTTTTTCGCTTTCTTCCACGTCTTTCAGGTTTTAGTTGCCATTTTAAAGCATTTGCGATCATTTTTGCTGAGCAGCCTATCATTTTTCTGCACTTCTTTATATGTTTTCCCCTCTCCAATCAACTTTTTAATCAAGGTACGCTGTTCTTCTGAACAATGTCTGGAACGACCCATTTTCCTTAGAATTTCAGAGAGAAATGCACTGTAACCAGAATGTACAACATTTCCTGCCTTCCTTCCTTAAATAAGGGCAATAATTGCCACCTGTTTTTCAAAGAATGAATGACCTCACTAATAGAAGTCCACACTGCTATTATTTTGAACATGCCCCTTTCAATTAGTGATTCAATTACACAGAATCAGCAGCATGCATGTCATGACTGTTGGGTCTGTTGGATTTCTATTACTCTACTACACCTGTTAGTAAATTATTTGCCATGTAGAAATATAATTTCTACCAAAAACAGTGATTGATCAGGTTAGTGATGTCTGCTATTATTTTGAACACAACTGTATGTGATGTGTCTGCTGCTGCTGAGCCACTCTGTCCTGTGTCTGCTCCCGCAGTTGATGCGGTACTGCGTAGTACCTCTGATTGCAGCACAGAGAAAGTAAACTGGGACAGATGGGCTAAAAACCTGTTGGCTTTATTGAAAGGGACCTCTGTTTCTAACAGTGGAGTGGACACGATTTCTGCTGTGCTAAATGGAGGGACTGCAGAGCAGCTTATAGACAAGGGCACACTTGCTGTTGCTGCAGATGGTCTCCCTCCCAAAACGGAAGAGCCAAGTGAGATTGGGCACATAGCAGAGATCGTGCCCACATCCCAGAAAGGATCTAATGGTGTGGTAATGAATAGTGTGATACCAAACGAGCTGGTGTTGGTGGAAGTGTCAGATGGCACAAATCAAGTGATTGGGCTCAGTAAACCAATTGTGGAATTATGTTCTGAAGGTCCAGTGTCAGGACATTTGCTGAAAGAGGTTCATGTGCCAGTGGAGTTGGTGAATAGTGACGTTGCTATGAGAGACAACCACTCCACTGTGTGCACTTGGTCTCCAGACACAGCCCTGCCAAACATTAAAATGAGTTCTGACAAATGTGTGGATATTTCTGATGATGAGGAAAAGTGCAAGGCACTGGTAAATGTTGATATTTCTGATGATGAGGAAAAGTGCAAGGCACTGGTAAATGTTGATATTTCTGATGATGAGGAAAAGTGCGAGGCACTGGTAAATGTTGATATTTATGATGATGAGGAAAAGTGCAAGGCACTGGTAAATGTTGATATTTCTGATGATGAGGAAAAGTGCAAGGCACTGGTAAATGTTGATATTTCTGATGATGAGGAAAAGTGCGAGGCACTGGTAAATGTTGATATTTCTGATGATGAGGAAAAGTGCGAGGCACTGGTAAATGTTGATATTTATGATGATGAGGAAAAGTGCAAGGCACTGGTAAATGTTGATATTTATGATGATGAGGAAAAGTGCAAGGCACTGGTAAATGTTGATATTTCGGGCATGATGAGGAAAAAAGTGCGAGGCACTGGTAAATGTTGATATTTCTGATGATGAGGAAAAGTGCGAGGCACTGGTAAATGTTGATATTTCGGATGATGAGGAAAAGTGCAAGGCACTGGTAAATGTTGATATTTATGATGATGAGGAAAAGTGCGAGGCACTGGTAAATGTTGATATTTCGATGATGATGAGGAAAAGTGCAAGGCACTGGTAAATGTTGATATTTGGTATGTTGATGATGAGAGGAAAAGTGCAAGGCACTGGTAAATGTTGATATTTATGATGATGAGGAAAAGTGCGAGGCACTGGTAAATGTTGATATTTATGATGATGATGAAAAGTGCGAGGCACTGGTAACTGTTTATCATTTAGTTTCTGTGGGTGACAATAAGACTAATGATGGACCTGAAGGTTAAGTGGACATGCATGCTGACAACCCTGAAACATGTGATGTGGTGAGTAATGATATGGCAGACATAGTTGAGATAAAAACCGCAGTAGAATTAGGCCTCCTACAGGTTCAGGAGAGTAGTATGGGAAGGGAAACTTTAAATTGCTTATCTGCCCAGAGGAAAAACTTTAAAGCGGAGTTCCACCCAAAAGAGGGGAAGTTCTGCTTTAAAGATTGGTCCCCCGCTCCCCATTAAGGATTGGCACCTTTTGGGGAGCGGAGGGGAGAGGGGGAATTTGACAGGTACCCGCTCCCACTTCTGCTGCGATCGCCCAGGCGATTGGAAATGGAAGTTGTCCTCCTACCCTCCCTCCCCACGTGACAGGTCCCAGAAGACGACGGGGCCATTCAGGAAGCGCAGCGCTATTCGGATATGCGCAGTGGGTACCCGGCTGTGAAGCCACAAGCTGTCAGAGCCGGGTGCCCACACTAAAGATGCCGGCGCCTGGAATACAGGACGGCCGGTGAAATGGGCTGCGGAGGGGGCAACGCGGGATTGTGGGACAAGTGAGTGGCTGTTTTTTAAAAGTCAACAGCTACAGTTTTTGGAACTCCGCTTTAAGGAAGCGGAATCTTTAAAAAGGTTCCCTGACATAAAAAACATCTGAAGGGCAAGACAATCAATCTGTCCTTCAGAAAGAGAGTAGGACATTGCTGTCGTCTGAGAATGTCAGTGACGAAACTGACAAAATGAAGCATGCAATGTATGTGGAGAAACAAGCAAAGTTAAGTTTGGACATTAAGAGGATGCCTGTACATAGAATGCAGAAAGGGACTAAGGTAACCCAAATAAAAGAGCTCACACTTTGTGTTTAAAAAAAAAAGTGTGAAAAGGCCCAGTGTCTAGTAGGAGAACATGGGGAAGGTCGCCTCATAAGACAGGAAGTAAAGTTTCCCTTTGAAAGTGATGTCAATCAGGAATGGGCTCATGTGGGTGACAGCTGGCACAGAGGTGCCAAATTTAAGAGTTTGGGCTTGTGTTTTCTGCCCCCCACGGGATCAAAACAAAGGGGGGGATATGTGGCAGTGCCGTATCCTGCCACGGTCTAAATCAAGGTTATAACCCAGGATTCTGAACTATACAGGTTGAGGGGCTCCAGGCGGTTTGCTTTATGCAGAGGAAATTGGTTTGTCATTCCTCATTGGTTCGTAAAGCCCATTTTGGGACCTGGGGCCTGAAGATTTTGAAGTAATTTGGGAAGGATGAAATCTCCAATCCTGGGTCCATGTTTTGTGAGCAGCCAGTGCACTGATTGTACAGATGTGTGCAGGGCTTTAAATAATAACCTGTCTATGGTTCTGGGCTCCACCCCGGCAGACAGGAGGTCATTGCCCAGGAGTCAGGAAGGCTTCACCTAGGAGAGGTGGGAGCCAGAGCAGCAAGGGGCTTTATACCTGAGAGAGCCAGGAGGCTGAATATTTGTTTCATTTGTTTTGATGGTGGATACCCCTGCGTGGGAAACATATGGTCTGGAACTTTACTTTAAATAAAATTGATCTAAAAGGCCTTTAAAGAGAAGAAAGTGAGTGGCTGTGTGCTGTAAAAGCTCTACCCTTTATGCTAGTTCTCAACACACCTAGGCATGCAGACTGCTTCTACAAATATTTGTGAAAGAATGGGTCGCTCTCAGGAGCTCAGTGAATTCAAGCGTGGTGCCGTGATAGGTTGCCACCTGTGCAATAAGTCCATCCGTGAAATTTCCTTGCTACTAAATATTCCACGGTCAACTGTTAGTGGTATTATAACACAGTGGAAGCAACTGGGAATAACAGCAATTCAGCCACCAAGTGGTAGACCACGTAAAATGACAGAGCGAGGTCAACGCATAGTGCGCAGAAGTCGCCAACTGTCTGCAGAGTTTAAAGATCTCCAAACTTCGTGTGACCTTCAGATTAGCACAACAGTGCGTAGAGAGCTTCATGGAATGGGTTCCCATGGCCATGCAGCTGCATCCAAGCCTTACATCACCAAGTGCAATGAAAAGCATCAGATGCAGTGGTGTAAAGCACTCTGCCACTGGACTCTAGAGCAGTGGAGACGTGTTCTCTGGAGTGACGAATAATGCTTTTCTGGCAATCCGAGCGACTTGTCTGGGTTTGGGGCAGTTGACAGGAGATAGGTACTTTCCTGACTGCATTGTGCCAAGTATAAAATTTTGTGGAGGGGTATTATGGTGTGGGGTTGTTTTTCAGGGATTGGGCTTGGACTCTTCGTTCCAGTGAAAGAAACTCTTAAGGTGTCAGCATACCAAGACATTTTGGACAACTTCATGCTCCCAACTTTGTGGGAACAGTTTGAGGATGGCCCCTTCCTGTTCCAACATGACTGCGCACCAGTGCACAAAGCAAGGTTCATAAAGACATGGATGAGCCAGTCTGGAGTGGAGGAAGTTAACTGGCCAGCACAGTCCTGACCTCAACCTGATAGAACACCTTTGGGATAAATTAGAGCGGAGACTGCGGGCCAGGCCTTCTCGTCTGACATCAGTGCCGGACCTCACAAATGCACTTCAGAAAAAATGGTCAAACATTTCCATAGACACTCCTAAACCTTGTGAACAGCCTTCCCAGAAGAGTTGAAGCTGTTATAGCTGCAAAGGGGGGCCAACTCAATATTGAACCCTACAGACTAAGACTGGGATGCCATTAATGTTCGTGTGTGTAAAGGCAGGAGTCCCAATACTTTTGGCAATATGGGGTGTGTGTGTATAATAAATATATATATATATATATATATATATATATAGATATATATATATATACATACAGTGGGGATCGAAAGTTTGGGCACCCCAGCTAAAATTTGTATTAATGTGCATAAAGAAGCCAAGGAAAGATGGAAAAATCTCCAAAAGGCATCAAATTACAGATTAGACATTCTTATAATTTGTCAACAAAAGTTAGATTTTATTTCCATCATTAACACTTTCAAAATAACAGAAAACAAAAAAATGGCGTCTGCAAAAGTTTGGGCACCCTGCAGAATTTATAGCATGCACTGCCCCCTTTGCCAAGCTGAGACCTGCCAGTGTCATGGATTGTTCTCAATCATCGTCTGGGAAGACCAGGTGATGTCAATCTCAAAGGTTTTAAATGCCCAGACTCATCTGACCTTGCCCCAACAATCAGCACCATGGGTTCTTCTAAGAAGTTGTCTAGAAAACTGAAACTGAAAATAGTTGACGCTCACAAAGCTGGAGAAGGCTATAAGAAGATAGCATAGCGTTTTCAGATGTCAATATCCTCTGTTTGGAATGTAATTAAGAAATGGCAGTCATCAGGAACAGTGGAAGTTAAAGCAAGATCTGGAAGACCAAGAAAAATATCAGACAAAACAGCTCACAGGATTGTGAGAAAAACAATTCATTCAAAACCCACGTTTGACTGCATGATCCCTCCAGAAAGATCTGGCAGACACTGGAGTTGTGGTACACTATTCCACTATAAAGCGATACTTGTACAAATATGGTCTTCATGGAAGAGTCATCAGAAGAAAACCTCTTCTACGTCCTCACCACAAAAATCATCGTTTGAACTTTGCAAATGAACATATAGACAAGCCTGATGCATTTTGGAAACAAGTTCTGTGGACCGATGAGGTTAAAATTGAACTTTTTGGCCGGAATGAGCAAAGGTACGTTTGGAGAAGAAGGGGCACAGAATTTAATGAAAAGAACCTCTGTCAAACTGTTAAGCATGGGGTTGGATAAATCATGCTTTGTGGTTGTGTTGCAGCCAGTGGCACAGGGAACATCTCACGAGTAGAAAGAAAAATGTATTCAGTAAAATTTCAGCAAATTTTGGATGGTAACTTGATGCCATCTGTGAAAAAGCTGAAGTTAAAGAGAGGATGGCTTCTACAAATGGATAATGATCCTAAACACACCTCGAAATCCACGGGGGATTACATCAAGAGGCGTAAACTGAAGGTTTTGCCATGGCCTTCACAATCTCCTGACCTCAACATAATTGAAAATCTATGGATAGACCTTAAAAGAGCAGTGCATGACAGACAGCCCAGAAATCTCAAAGAACTGGAAGACTTTTGTAAGGAAGAATGGGCAAAGATACCTCAAACAAGAACTGAAAGACTCTTGACTGGCTACAAAAAGCGTTTACAAGCTGTGATACTTGCCAAAGGGGGAAGTACAAGATATTAACTCTGCAGGGTGCCTAAACTTTTGCAGACGCCATTTTTTTTTGTTTTCTGTTATTTTGAAAGTGTAAATGATGGAAATAAAATCTAACTTTTGTTGACATATTATAAGATTGTCGAATCTGTAATTTGATGCCATTTGGAGATTTTTCTATCTTTCCTTGGCTTCTTATGCACATTAATACAAATTTTTAGCTGGGGTCCCCAAACTTTCGATCCCCACTGTATATATTATATACACATACATACACGCGCACACACACACACGCTGTAAGCTGGGGAGAGCTGCAACAACTCTGTCCAGGCCTTTGTACTAAAGAGAAGTGCCATTCTTATTAGAATTGATTGGAAGCCCAGGAGCTGATCGCTTTAACCGGGATTTATGGTGGATCTCAGCAGTCACTGGCAGCCAGTGGTTTCAGCGCTAGTGCCAGAGGGGACCAGCAGGAGCTGCAGAGTCTGAACACCATTGCCGGGGACAAAAGGGGTTTTAAATGTCTTTTTTAGATCTGTTTTTCTTCATTATATACAACCACAGATGTTTAAACATGACAAAGAGTAAGCAGAGCACCAGGGATTAGCTAAAGAGACAACCCAACAGCTTGCTTTGCTGCTTTATTTATCTGAGGCCAAGCCGCCCTCTGATTTTAAAAAGGAACTGAACTCAGAAAGTTGTGTTCAGGAAAAGGGAAAAAGATTTGTCACCTGTATTTCCTATGTGCTCTTTTCAGCTGATTGTTTCCCATTACTAACTTAGTAGGCTTTGTTCTGCTTGTATTTTAGTGTGGAGGTGGCCCTCTTGGTAGTACACTGCTATTTTTCAGGAGGAATTGGACAAAAGGTAGATCTTTTAGGGCACTGCTTAGGCACAAGTGACATGTCTAGATATTCTTTATGACACAGGAAATCTTCACTTTCGGAGTTCAGTTCTGTTCAGTTTAAAGGAAGCCTATCTTTTCAAAAATATGAAAGATACCACTGCACACCTCTATCCTACATCTTCAGCTGCCCCCTATCTCGAAGTATCAAAGTCTGTCCGTCTCCCTCCATCAGGTTTTTTTTTTTTTTTTTTTTTTTTTACACACCCCCTTCAGTATTTAAAAAATAGCGCCAAGTTTTACTTACCCTTTCTAAGCTCTAGTGCTGTCACTGACTACCTCTTCCGTCCATTACTGAAGGTCCTCTTCAGGACAGAATGACTGTGTCGGTGGTCAGGTGGTGCTGCATTCTACAATTATTGGAGTTCTGCTTTAAAGCCTAACTCATTTAAATCCAAGCTCCAGCCAAAACGTTTTAATTTTTTGGGATAGCATGTGGAAGAATAAGCACCTGTGTCAGGTTTTTATAGCTCTCTGTGACTCCATTAAAAATATTTCCTTTACTTCCTGTCCAAGTGACAACATTGTCGCTAAGACTGAACTGGTAGCAAATCCTCTGCACATGTTCTTTGAGTATTACATGAGCAGGAATTGTGGAAAATTCTTTCAAAAGGAGTCAAAGACAGAAATATAAACTGACCGTAATTTAAACCCTTCAACACTATCTAAAACTAAAAAAAAAAAAAATAGCTTGGATTTAGGTTTCAAGCACTTGTATGTTTTCAGTGTTGGCTTAGGATGGGATGGTATTGTTTGAACCTTATGACCCAAACTAAATTGACAGGTGCCGCTCAAGGCTCCAATTTGTTCACTTATGCAGCAACCTCTTGGAGTGCAGACAAGGACATAGCTCGTCCCAGCTCTGGACATCTAATGAAAAAGGGAAAAGTCCTGGAAGTCGTGCATCTCTGCAAAACCCCGTAAGATGTTGTATGACAGCTTCAGCCTGGGCTCCAACCAGACCACGCCCCAATGTGTTTCACTCAGCCCATGGAGCTTAGCCATGGGAAACTTGCTAGGACCTTACCTCATCATATTGTGCTCGTGAAAATCCATGTCTGCCATGGTGGAGATCTACATCTGTTCTAGATCCTGGACTCTGTAAAGAGAACTAAAATGAACACAAAGAAGTCGATGATGATTAATTTTTAAATGGAAACCATCAGGATTAATCCGCTTTTAACTCAAGCTCTCTACATTTTGCTACTACTGGTTATTGCTGTTCTTGTTGAGGTCTCTATTTGTTAAACCTTACAAAGCATGCTGCAGAAACGTTTGGGTCTCCTTTTGCAGCAAATGAAGTGAGACTTCATGTTAGTAGGTGACAGAACTAGGATATAAGCTTGCAAGTATACATGTTTAAAGGGGAATTCCTTGAAGGAGAGAGGGGTAAGAAGTGTAAGAAGTTAGTGTGTGAGTCAGCCTATAACCATTCAACCATACCTCCATGCACTGTGCCAAATGAACCATGGTGGACATGACATTTCCACAAACTGTACACCTGCTCTTGGGATATAGAGGTCTAAATATACTAGATGTGGGTCAGGCAGGTACTGGGAACCTCTCCCACTGTCTTTTATACCTGGACGTTGCCCTACACTTGACGTGGGAGACATTCTTCATGATGCCCGAAGGGTGCTTCTGGTTTGTATCTTCCAAGTGGTGTTGGATCACCTCCTCATCTATCCACAGTAAAGTATTTGTATTTGGGGCAGTAATTGTGCCCAAACGTTGTTCTCACACAAGGGTCCTTTGGTCATTCTGTCCACAACCATAATGAAGTACAGCTGGGCATACACTAGTAGAGGTTTGTTTGAAAATCTTCATTTTAAGAACATTCATTTGATTTGCTAATGGTTAGTGGGGTCAAATCCGCGTTAGTTTTCAAGTGTGGTGACAAGAAAGTTCAAAGGAACAGGATGGAAATTTTTTCCTGAACGAATACATTTCTAACAATGTAAGTGGTTTTCCTTTAGGAAAATCCATTCACACCAAAATTGAGTGTTAAAAGCAAAGTTTCAAAGGACATTCATAAAGTCTTCTTATGCACTGATGAGAATATTTATATGAATGTTCATATGAATATTTGTACAAATGTTCATTTGAAAATCTATTAGTGGATG